ATATTCATCTAATTATCCCCCTCCTTTGATCAAAGGAAAACTGCTATTGGAACAATTGTCTCGAGGGAGGAGCTCTACCTTTCAGGGGAGTTTTGCACAAATATTCCTGGGGCTGTGGAGCTGCCAGGAGGAGCACACAGTCTGTCCTCAGAGAGGACAGACACCTTGCCAGCCTGCACATATGGTAACTGCACTGACCTTTCAGCTACTACACATTTGCACTATATTTAAGAGCTACTCAGGAAGCCAATATTGTGTATTATGTAACACAAGATTAAGCATTAATGAGGCAAGAATAAAATTGTTTATCTAAACCCCAATCTAAAATTAAACAGAAGTTTATGCTGAAAGCTCACACTGCACTCATTTTGTCTCCTAACATTAACAGAGCTCAGCTTATTTAGTCTCTGAGGTAAGTCCCAGCAGCATTTAATTTGGAGGGAAAGATTTTACTATGAGAAGAGAGACTATTTTTCCTGGAGAAATGATGCATATTTAGGTTCTTCTGTGCATAAACACAGCACGCTGCAGGTATTTCGATCTGCAGGAAACAGCTGACATTCATAACTTCTGTTTACACTGGGTTTTAAAGCTAAATAAAGGAGCACCCACCCAGAGGGCAAGAACTTTGGATTGTACTCTGTCATCTCTTGCTCAGCAGCCAAACCAAAAATCACACACACCAAAGATACCTACGTGCTCAACAGGGAAATTCAAAGCAAAGTGAGAGCAGGGGCCTCCACAAAGACCCCCTGTCCTCTTTTTGGGCTTCCTGCTCAGCCCCAGCAGCTCAGATGGGTGTCAGCCCCAGTGCTCAGGATGTGCAGAGGAGATCAGCAGTGCCATGAGAGACAGGGGGGTTCCAAACCCACCCCTCAAACTGCAGCAAGTACCATGGACATCCAATGGTGTAACCATTACTCCTGAACCCCTGCAAGGCTGCCCAAGGGACAATCACACACGTCCCCCTCTTGTTTCTGGGGGCCAACTGAACTACCCAGCGTGAGGCTGGAGTTCCACAGCTCAGACAACACCCCTGGTACCACACAGGCTGCAGGAGCTCCAGCCAGACGGAAACAACTCTGCTTCTTCTGGGGCTGTGGCCTTAACATAGTTCAAACCAACTGAAACTGCGTCCCTGAGGCTTCCAGAAGGGTTTGAGAGTGACCAGCACGAGGGCAGGCTGAGAGGAACAGGGCACAGCTGACACCACGGCTTGGCCTCCTCCTCCTCCTCCTCCTCCTGCTCTGCACAAGCTCAAGTTCATTCCGTGTTTCTATTTACCTCCTGCACGTAGCCAACACAGAGTTAAGCTATTTCCATCAACACAATGAGGCAATTCCCGGCCTCTGAGGCATTTAAGTACCTTTATCTCAGGCCTATCACAACTGCTGGTGCTTCTAGAACTCTCAAATTCAAGTAGCTCAGTGTAATCACCTAAAGAATTCGGAGCAGAATGTTAAATACTTGGAAAATCCTGTATTATCACAAAGTTTTAGCAAATTATCCCAAAACGAGGGGGAAGGGGGGGGGGAATGAAAACCACTTTTAAAGCCAAATCAGATACTCTGAAAAACTGCTGCCAGCTGTGTACCTTCCATCCTCACAACACGTGAATTTAACCTCCAAAATTTACTTCTTGGCTTACCATGCAGAAGAATGAAAAGTGCTGCCAAGCATGAACCAAAAGGAGAGCAGCAAAGTTCATCAGCTGTGTCAGTCAACCACAGCTACAACCAAGGGAAAATCTATTCAGGAGGAAGGGGGAAAAGGATGGAAGGTACTCTGGAAGAGAGGAGAAGATCTATTTAAGACAGTTCAGTGGAAAGCCAAGGAAGTTGCAGAGGTTTTATTTAAAAATCTCACACGGAGGCACTTTTTTCTCCAGAGTATCAGAAGGTTAACACTTACTGATCCAGCCTTAAAGCTACTGGCCTTCCTTGATCCACGTCAGCATTCCCACTTCAGCCCAAGGCATGTCCAGGAAAGACCTGATTTCAGTTCCTGGGCCTCTTGTGTAAAAAAGCCTGAAGGAAATGCTACAGCTCTTTACTCTCATGACCACTGGGAACCCCTCTTGGTCATAAACGTGGAAATAAAGGGAAAATCTGAACTAGGCTGGAAGAGTGAAGTCCTGAACAAACACAGCTCTGACATGGAATAGATGTTTTCCCTCACAAAGCTTTTGGTTCGGTGATTATTCGTTTAGAATAAACAATTAAAAACGCTGAAAAAACTGTGTTAAACTAATTAAAACACACATGGACAAATGGAAAGGTTTTCTTGGAAGATACTGCATGTTAACCATGGAGGAATAAAAAAAGCCAAGGCACGACTCAAATAGGACATTCCTTAACACCCTTGTGAAATTCAGTACAGGATGGCCTAATTCTCATCTCACCAGGCCACTTTACACCTTCCAATACCAGAAAAGAAATACAATGTCATCTTCATCTCTCTAGTCAGACTTTCTGCACAGCAGCCTCAGCTTGATTTAATATAAAATAGGCCTGGTCTCCACCAGGATTCTGTATTTCTATTGTATTCCTCATCTTCCCCTCTTTTCATGTTCCAGCCCCAGGGTTTAAGGTGATACTTGGGAGAGCCCCCCCAACAGTGAAAGGGGCAGAAATTTAGGAGTTTAGGAAAAGCACATATTGTACAGAAATCATGATAATAAATAGATTTAACTTTTAGTGGGGTTGGCAGAGGTAAAAACCCTGACTCTCCTCCCCACAGACTTCAGTGACCAGGAAAGTAAACTTCTTAAATCAGATGGATGCAGATATTAAGGGAAATCACCCCAAGAATGCCCCTGACACGTATCTGGAAGGTGTTTCAGTGCTTTTGCATCCACATAATAATTTTGGGGGGGAGTTTCACCTCATCTTAATATGGAAGGCAAACAGGAGAATAAGACCTTTTTCTAGTATTTCTGGAATTGCTACATGACTGCTTCAAACTGCAATAAAAAAAAATGGCAGGCAAGGTATCTGAAATTATGTTGGTGATGAAAAAAGATAAATTAATTCCACGGCCTTGGCATTTACATTATTCATTATTCCACTTTAAGGAAGAAAGGCAAAGCTGGACAGTCGAGTATTTACTGCAGCCTTTATTCTGCAAGTACACAGCCTTCCTATAGCAAAGCTGCTGTAAATTTTGGCTGAAAAAGATCGGGGAATTAAAAGCAAGCAGAAGTGAGGCCTGTGGGCAAAAATAGGAAGCAGAGATTATAAACAACCCGCTGCAGGTCAAAGGTTATTTGTAGATCTGTTACCACAAGGGGCTAAAAAAACGAGCCCAAAAACCCATCAACATGATGCTTCCCATAGCTCAGACTTAATATTTAGTCTTCTCTGTACTCAAAAATTAGACCTAATTAAACAAAAACATAGCACTTGTAAAACGATAGCTTATACGAGGTTTAACACCACTTGCAAAACTTTTACAAAAAGCCTGAGGCCTGATAGCCAAGCTCCAGTGGAGAAATCCAGACACCTGCCCCCAACTCCGTTCTTCAGTTTTTTTCTTTTCCCCCTTGAAAAATGCTCTTCTCCATCCCAAAAATAAATTTGATACTTAAAAAATGAATTTAAATTGATAGAAACCTCGATATATTTCACAGTTGCTGTAATGCAAACTTACAAGAGTGCTTTTGCCTCTCAGTAACTTTACCACGAGCAGAACTGATTTCTAAAGCAAACACCAATTTGTTCTAAATCCACTCTAGGAGAGATTCAGAAGAAAAGGGGAAGGAACTGATTCAGCTATGTGCTGGATTTGTGAGCTGTTTAAGATCCACAGTTTTTTCAGCATTCCTGCTAAGCTGTCATCTTTCCAGCACTGTGCCTTGGTGCCTCAAAATCCCACAGAATACGGAAGCAAAGTCTCCCAACACTCGATCAGTAATTAAGTTTCCCTTCTCAACAGAATTCGTGAACATGTAACTCCAGCAATTGTTTCCTCCTCCCCTTCCCATTTGCCAGATTCAGTGTTACTGTTTACCACCAAAAGACTGTGTTATCACAGCACTTGTCTCACAAGAACATCTCAGAGGAGAATGGAAACATCCCACAGCAAGTGACAGACTGTTAAATATTTTTACAGCGACGCTCTTCCTCGCTGCACATCCAAACTCCACACCTACAGAAGTCCAAACAGCCAGTTATGCTTCAAATAAATATTTTCCAGATCGCTAGCACGCTGCTAGAAAATAGCCTAACTCCATTTCCAGGGAGTTACCTCCTTTCTAAATTCAGAACAGCAAGGAAAACCCTCCCAGCTGTTAAATGACACCTGCAGAACAGAAACCGAAGCTTTTAGGGAAGCTTGATTTGGACTAACGGAGAAGTAACCGGATTCCCAAGGCTTCCCAAACCTTCTTTTCCCTTTGAAGGAGTCGACCACTCCTCCCTGACCATCTCCCTGGGAGGCCCTTGCCAGGATTTTCGCTGGAATGACAGTTACATAAGCTCGATGAAGTTCAGGATAGAGGGATGAGCCACGGATCAACCCCCCAGCAGAACTTCCACGGTTCGGGAAGGCGAAGAGTTAAAACACCACCAGGGCCACGGGAGCAGGCACATACCTCAGGCTTCCCGATTCAATTAGATCCTGTTTTGTTTTAGGCTTTCTTTAATTACCCGATGCCATTTGAGCCCGGCTTGGGTGACACGAATGTATTATCCCCATCATAATGTCAGAATTTAAAATTAGATCTGGTCTCCCGTAAATACACTTCGCCCAAGCCCGGCGACTCCGTCCAGCCATGACGACTATTTTATGTAACATCTTTCGTGCCCCGAGACCTAAAAAAACTGCGCTGAAATTTAACAGCTACCTTGTCTGGCTGGGGGCTCTGCCTTCCAATTTATCCGAAGAGAATTCCGGGTGAAAAGGAAAGAGTTCCCTAAGATCAAAACAGCGAAGCAGCGAGAGAGAGAGAGAAAGAGAGGGGGGAAAAAAAAGCAAATTACATAAAGTCCAAATGTACTCACGGTCTCCTTATTGGGAAGCAACTCCTTTCGGATTCTGAAGAAGTTCTTGCCGTACTGCCTCAACCCCTTAATAAAACGTTTCTGCGGTAAAAGATAACAAAAACAGCGTGTCAGCAGAAGCAAAAAAATAGCAATAAAAGAGGTTAAAAAAAAAA